TCAACGCTTCAAAGCTTGGTATATACAAAGTCTGAGAGGATTAAATTCATAGGCTTTCATAGTTCTCCCTCTCTCTGTGTCTCTTAAAAAGGAAGAGGCACAAGGTTTGGATAAAGATAACCTCAAACTACTCCTCTGCAAGGAGCGCAAGAAGAAAATGAGTTTTATACGCCCTCCCCTCCCGGCCAAAAAAAGCAGAGATCACTTGGTTATCATTCTCAGCTAAGTGCCTCCCATTGTTTCCAATGGATGGTAGAAATGGATCTGCTAAGTTGAATCTGTTGCGGGGGTGAGGGCAGATTTCTTGTCTAGGTGAGTGGTAAGGGGTGTCTGAACAGTGCATGAGTACCTTTACAGAAGGCTTAGAATAGCATCTATCTGAATGATTGCTGTATGTCTCTAAGATCTTTTTAGCCCCTCAATTATGAAGCCGCACCCATGCACCTTATTAATTCTGCCCCGTATATGCAAGAAAGCAACAGCTCACCCCGGTCGCAAAAAGCCAAAGTGAGGTTGAATAATAATGAGCTCCCGTTTCATTCTCCCCAAACGCTCATCCAGTGGGTCCATTTCGGCCCTATGCTGCTCAGCAGGCGAGCCGATGCCAGGGCACAGGAAAGTTATTCGGTTGCTCACTGCACCTGGTGACTCTCTGCTTTCCCCACCCGTGTAGCTCCTCGGCGCCCGAGCCCGGCTTTCTGCATCCCGCTGTGACTCGCCACCAGGGTGTATCAGGCAAACACCTGCTGCCTTCCCACAGTCATCTGCCAAACCCTAGCGTGACTTGCAAGCCCCAGTGGGCCAGGGGCCGCCTCCTCTCTCCCTGTTCCCCGCTGAGATGCGAGCGGCTCGGAAAGGAGACAGGGCAGCCTGACAGGTAGCTGAGGGAGCCGCACGGCCGGAGCAGATCCCGGCAAAACCCAGCAGCCACTTCCGTGATCGCTCCCTCCCTTGCCCAGCGCAGGACACACTAGGGTTTAGCCTCCGTGCAGGGCCGTGCTCGCGTCCAGGGCGTCCTGAGGAGCTGTGGCCAGGTGCAGGGCTGAACTCCCCGCCGCTCAGACTCTTCCCAAAGGGCGAGTCCCCTGCTGCAGCGCCGCGTACCAGTCGCAGCGGCCCCAGAGCTGCGCAGAGCCTGAGCGCGCTCGCTCGCCTGGGCAAAGTCTGCCCGGGTTAGGGCAGCCACTGGACCCCCGCCGCTAAGGCACTTTGCGCGCACCCGCAATCCACGCGCCTCTCTCCTCTCCCCGATCCCCAATTCGCCCATGAACCTCCAGTGACCCTGCATGCCCCGCCCCCCAACTTCAGCTCACCTCCCGGACTTCAACCTCAGGTGCCTCAAGCCTCTTTCAGCGACCCCCAGCTACCACCCTTGATGGCCACCACTAAACCTCCTCCGTCCAGGGAGCCCCCAGCCTCACTCCCCGTGCACCGCCCCAAACAAGCCCACTTCACCCGCCCCCCCACCTCACTCCCCGTGCTGGTGCACCCCCGTTCATCCCGCGTGTCCCCCAACCTTGCCCCTCGCGCACCACCTCAGTTCACCCTGCGTGCCCCCCAGACCGCACTTCATCCACCTGCCCGCCAACCTCACTCCCCGTGCACCGCCGGTCCCCCAGCCTCCCTAGACCCCAATTCGCCTCTTTCCCCGCGCAACGCCCCAAATATCAACCCTCGTGAGCTCCGAAGTGCCCCCAGGATCCCTCCTCATCACCCTGAAAGCCCTGGCCCCCCTCCCGTGCCCGGACCGCACCTGTCCCGACTCACCCGCCTGGCGCCGAGCCGTCCGCCGGGCTCCTGCAGCTGGGGCCGCCCCGTTGGGCCATGGACAGAGACAGCGGGTCAGGGAGCAGCTGCGCTGGCAGGAGGCGCCTGGCTGGCCTAAGCGCGGCGAGGAGCTGGGCGCGCTGCAGCCCCGGTGACAGGCGCTGATCCCCGCGGCGCAGGAGCGAAGCCCGGCACCGGAGCCAGGGAGCGAGCGAGCGCCCGCTGCTGCCCGCCTCGCTCAGGTGCAAACCCAGGAGCCGCTTCCTCCTCCGCCTCCCCAGCGTCCGGGGCCAGCCCCTCCGCCCTGCCGCCTCTGGGCGCCAACCCGGCGGGAAGGGAAGCGGTGCAGGCCCCTGCGGCTGGGCGCAGCGGGGCAAGAGCGGAGCCCCTGCTGGCTGCCCTGGCCGGGCCAGAGGGCAGATCCCGGGAGGGCGGCGAGCCCAGGGGAGTACAGCACAGGCGGAATGGGCCGAGCTCACCCCTGGGGCTCGACTCCTGGACAGTGGGGGTCCCCTCCCTCCGCGGGGCACTGACCCCAGGAGCTGAGACTAACCCGCTTTCCCCTCACGCCTGTTCAGCGCCGAGAGGCTGCGAGGCGCTCTCGGGAGCCTTATCCAACCGCGGGGAAAGCCAATGGGAACACTGGCCCTGCTTCCACAGAGAGCTGGATCGGCCCTGGAAGGAGTGAGGTGAAAACTCTCCGGGAAATGGCCGGGGCTCTAGCAGTAGAAAGTCAATCTGCAACTCCAGCTCATCTGTCCCCTCCCTCCACCACCTTCCCTTTATTTTATATAGAGAGCCCAGCCTTGAAATTGGAGTCCAGATCCAGTTGTCCTCCCTCCCCCCTTCCCCGAAATCCCCCACAACACCTTTCCGTAGTGGAGTCCTGCAATTGCCATAAGCCCATATTCTGGCAATACCTGGGCACTGCAACTACTACCTGTAAAATTACTTGCCAGAGTGTCTGCGGGGTTGGGGTGCATGGATTGTAAAACTGCAGGCAGCAAAGACTATCTACTGCTAAGGGTTTGTACAGTGACTAACACAATGGGGGTTTCTGTTGTGATTGAGATCTACAATAATAATAGGCAATGTTGTCATGAAGATAATAATTAATATAATAAAATCAGTTTTTCACTTATAATGCAAAAAAAATAAAAAATAGCTTGCTGAGGTGCGTATAAATATGAGTAAAATACTACAAGGAAAAATAATACAGATATATGCTGAAGGGCAAAACAATTGAAAATAACACAGACTCTTCATCCCGTGTCTAAAATAATTTTAAATGAGTGAGACTTGGCAAATCAGCTTCTAGTGTTACAATTTAACAACACTGTCAGCACTACTTTTTATTTCATGTTTGTTTGTTCAAATTTACAAGGATTTTTAATTTTATTGCTGAAGTTGTTTTTGTTTTGTCAAGAGAGGTTAGAGCATGATGTACTAAAAAGAGATCAGGGCAAGAGAGTGTACTTGGATTCATTTAAAGTAGTTCTGTCAATATTGATCTGTATTTGTCAAAAGTGATATATGGTTCTTCAAGGCAAAATTGCTAGAAATAGCACAAAAATAGAGCATCTTCCTTTTCCCACTGAAATAATTATAAGAATGTAGCTGATTTCAGTAGGAGAAAACCAGACCCATGCAACACAAAAGTAATTTGGGGTCAGTCAAATGGGGTAAATGAGCATACCAATGCTGCATTCTATGGAGCTATGCTAATTTACACCAATGACCAAATTGGTCCTTTATATGAAAGCAGGAGTCTGTGAAGAGCAAGATTTGGGGAGTCTGTATTTGCACTATTTCTACTAATATATTTTCCTTGAAAAGATAAGTTCCTAATAGTTACAACAATAGATTAATCAGGAGGAATCTCCCTATGACTATGCTACTGGGGGATCAAATGACAGCTCTGTAGTGAAAGGTTTCAAGAAATTCCAATGTGAACCTATATTTTTATGGACCAAGCTTTTCAGTCATATTTTACTTTTATAGATGAGAATAAAAATCAAAACATTCCGTACAGCGTTTAGTTTTGCAAACTAGCTGCTTTACTTTGGCAGTAACTTGTTCTGGAAACAAACCTGAATAAGGTATTTTGTTATACCGATTTGGGACCTGATTTCACCACCTCTTACACAAGTGTGCAGTCTCATCCATGTTTATAGGACTGTTTACATAAATATTTTAGCACCTACCTCCACTTCTTCCATGTGAGCTCCACCTACTGCTGCTAATGTTTTCCATGGTTGGGAGATGAGGCCATTGGGCTGAGTATCCAAGAGTGGTCCTTCTAAAGAAAAAAAAAAGATTCTGGGAGTCTCTAATTTACTCCCTTCATCTCTAACTAGAGATGGTTTGGAAGTAACAAGAAATAATTTAATTTTAATTAGGTAAACGGGGGGGGTCGGGAGGGCAGGGTGTTGTGAGCATTACACAGGTTTATGAGGCCTTTGTTCTTGGAACTTTGGTCTGAGTGTGAACTTCAGGTCATACTCACTACCTGCTCCAATGAACAGCTAGGTGCATTGAAAAAGAGATCTAGAATATCTGATGCTGCACGATATCTGGCATCTTAATGCTGTTATCCAGCAGCTGCTGTAGCTAGTTTGCATTCCTCTTCCAGTGACCTCCCATAGACACAACATATGGGACATCCCACCCAAGGGGCCTGATGTGTGCAGGTGCTGGAACTAGGGGTAAAGGTGATGCTGCCACATCCTCTGGTTTGAAATGGTTCCCGTTGTATAGTTTAGTTCAATAGTTGTCAGCATTCCCACTATAAAAATTGTTCCAACCTCCCCTAGTGTCAGGGAGCAGCCTCGTGGCCCCTTATTGGGTCTCTGCCCTCTATAAACCCAATGGGCATCCCAGGAAATGTTCAGGCAACAATGTGAATTTCCTGTAGATGCTATGACCATTCCAGCTCTTGGCTTTAAACTCAGCTTGATTTATGTCTTACCTCCTGACTCAGATCCTGAAAACTGTCTTAGAGTTTGACCTTAGGTACTGATGCTGGTCTGGATCCTAAGTAAGAAGTCCTTCTAGGATTGCTAGGTGTCACCACATCTGACTGGGCTGCTAAAAGTCCTGCTGGCCACAGTGCTCTGCTTAGGTCCCAAAAGTGGCCGACAAGTCCCTCCAGCTCATAGGTGCAGGTGCAGCCTGGGGCTCTGTGTGCTGCTCCTGTCCATGCCCATGTGCTAGCCTGAGCTCTGGCTCTACCACTCCCATTGGCCTAGAACCAAAGCCAATGGGAGCTGAGGGAGCAGCATCTGTACATGGGGGCAGTGCACAGGACCCCTTGAGTGCCCCTGAGGGTATGAGTGTGAAGGACATGTTGGCCATTTCTAGGAGCCGCCTCAGGTAAGCACTGCCTGGAGCTGGAATCCCGTCTTATAGTACCCCAACCTGAATGCAAACTCGCTCTCAGAGCCCACACCTTTCCCCCCATACTCTTCGGCTCCAGCCCAGGGCCTCTTGCACCCCAAGTCCCTCATCCGCAGCCCTGACCCAGAGTCCACACACAGATCCGGAATCCTGACCCTACCTGCACACCAAACTTCTGCCCAACCCATAACCTCCTCCTACACTCTGAACCCCTCACTTTTGGCTCCATCATGCCCCCATTTCAGAGTTCCCCAACCCTCCTGCCCCAGGGCCCTCTCTCACACTTTGAACTTCTCAGACCCATTTCCCAGCCTGAAGACCCATTTTGCACCCTAAACTCCTCCTCCTCAGCCCTACTCCAGAGTTTGCATTCTCAGCTGGAACCCTTACCTTCTCCCACCCCTGAAACCTCTGCCCCACCTTGGTGAAAATGATTGAGTGGGGATGGAGCAGGTGGGGGCAGGATTGGGGCCTTGGGGCAGGGGCAGGGCAAAGGTGTTGGTTTTTCTGCAATCCAAAAGTTGGCAAACCTAGCTCCTCCACTCTTCCCAGCCTCAGATTTTCCCATACTCTGATATTTGTTCCTGACTGCCTTTGTTAAAATCCTGACAAATATATTGTATATTTCCTTCTTCTCTTTTTTTCTGCAAGAGGAGAGTCTATGTCCTTTACTGACATCAAAATCATAGTCATAGCAACTAATTATAATATCACAAGCAGCTAATTATGACTTCAGTTGAGGGATGAAAAACAAAGAAGCCTGTGTTTATTTAAATGTTTCCAATCATTTCAAATAGATTAAAGGGAATGGAGGGAGTTATTAACTGATAGGCTGGATAGGTTAGAAATAATTTTTGGGGGGGCATTGTCTGTAATTATTTGCACATTTTTGTTTGCAACTCAATGTGCATAGAGTAAGGACTAGATACATCTACACCAATTTAAAAAAAATATGTAGTAAGTAAGCTGAGAGAAAATTGTATCATATTAGTCTATAAAGAGCACTATTGCTGAACAGAACATTTTTCAAAGTTTGCTACGATGCAAATGCAACTCTTTAAGAAAAGACAGAATAGCTTAACTATGGATTCCTTTGCTTTTATATATTGTTAGTCTATAGTACTTAACATCCAGTATCTGTCTTTGTAAGTATAAAAGCATTTAAGTATAGTAATTCCTTTATCTATAGCATGGGTACTACAATTGTATTTCTGTCTTTTCAGCCAAAAATGAGCAGAACATTCCAATAATATGTTTAGTAAAACAAAGGAAATAATATTACAGTGATAGTGTCTTTTTACTTGATTGATTTGTTTATATCTCAGCTCAGTAAATATAGTAAATTTGGAAGGCTGACACTGAGTTATTTTCTTTTCCTATTGACATTGTTTATTTTGCTGCTGCAAATATATAAGAAAAAGGTAGCTCAGATGATGTTGGTTATACAAACCTTAGATTCATAGAGTTCAAATCCAGAAGATATAATTGGTTATCTAGTCTGACCTCCTGAATATCACAAACCATTAATTTTCACCCAGTTACCTCTGTATTGGGTGTAATAATTTGTGTTTAACTAAAGTATGACTTTCGTAGGGGTACTTAGCCCTTGTGAAGCCATCTGGAGACTTCATCATTTCCCTTGATAGCTTCCTCCAATGACTGGTCATGTTCACTTTTTTTAATGTGTATTTTCTAACTTAAATTTGTCTGGCTTCATCTTCCAGTCATTGGCCCTTGTTATGCTTTTCTCTGTGAGATTAAAGAGTACTTTAGTATCCGATATTTTCTCTCACAAATGTACTTGCACACTATAATCAAGTCACCTCTCAATCGTCTTTCTGATAGGCTAAGTAGATTGAGCTCTTTAAATTTCTCACTCACAGACATTTTTTCTTTCCCTCAATAACTTTTGTAGCTCTTTTATTCACCTGCTTCCATTTTCAACATTCTTTCAATTTATGGAAATCAGAAGTAGATGCAGTATTTTAGTGCTCACGCCAATGCCATATGCAGGTAAAATCACCTCCAAACTCCTACTCCTTTATTTTTGCATCTAAGGATCCCCTTAGCCCTTTTAGCCACACTATCCTCTTCAGTGGTTACGTTGAGTTGCTTGTCTACTATGTGCCCTATTTTTTTCCAGAATATCTATTTTCCAGGATATAGTCTCACATTCTGTAGGTATGATGTACATGTAGGAGTTTTAAATATTTGTTTGGAAAGCAGTCATTCTTCCTAGATGTATAACTTTGTATTTGGCTATATTAAAACACATTTTATTGAAAGGGATCAT